CTCAGTAAAAACTAAACTAAAGTTAAGAGAATGTGAGAAAACAATAAAAGTGAAATGCAAAAAAATACTCGATGTTTCCGCGCCTCTTCTTATTCCTGCAGCCTTTTTTATTAACCACGATGATGTAGGCGTACAAATTTCTAGGTCATAACTCCGATCTTCCTTAACTTTAATTCGTGTGGGCAATGGCACTCCTTAATTGAAAACGAAAAAATGGTTCTGCCACTTTTCAAAATAAAAAAAGATTGAGAGTAATTACATTAATTATTTTAGACTAAAACAGAGGAGGCCAAACCTGGTTGAATGTTGCTTGTTTCGTTGTTGAAGTGTTTGCAAAACGCAGCAATATTCAACCCTCGCTGGCCCAACATTGGTCCTAAAGGTGGAGCCGCGGTAGCCATTTGCGCTCTGATAAAAGTTGATATGCATAAAGCTACACTTCAGGAAGGAAAAAATCGAATACTTAAAGTAAGTCATCTATATAAGGCATAACAGTTCAAGACTTAAAATTCTTCGAAGCTGAAGCCATTCTGATGACACAATTGTGTGAAGATACTATAAAAAGGAAAAAAAGGAAAGGAAAAAAACACTTGAACGGTTCATCTTCCGAACCAAATTTTATTTGACAAAAAAATAATGTATGCAAAAAACATACCCGATATTCGTCCGGATAAGCAAGCTATGAATTACTTTAATAGTATTTTTCTTCTTTCCTCGAAATGCCTTGGTAGCCATACTAAACCGTGAACATAATATTACAAAGTTCGTCATTTAGATAAAAGGAAGTTACAAAACAGAAAAGGACATCGCGCTTGAATTGTACACAACAGCCCAGAACTGTGGAATGAATGTATAATACCAGAAACACCAAAACATTAAAAGAAGTTGACAGATTAGAACACTTTTGAAACGAACTCAAAAATATCACAAAACAGTGGAAATTTTCATAAATTTTAATATACCTTAATATTTGCCGCATAAATGTAGTAGTTTTTTTAACGAATAGAATGTGTCTAAAATTTATCTTCTAAATTTTTTTTTTTTTTTTTTTGGATTTTTTAAAGCGCATATATATGGTTCGAAAAGACAGATATTCTTCTAAGAAAAACCTTAAAAAATTTTTTTTGAGAATTTGCGGACACTAAACAAAACTTAGAAAAATCAGTTATCAATAAACCATATAAACTTTATGCAATCAAACTGAGCAATTTAGAACTGCATAAAAAATGAAACTTTAAAAAAACCTACAAATCATTGCTCAAAATCTAATGATATCTGGTAATTTACTGGTCACCGAAATGAACAATGAAAAAAAAAAAAGTGCCTTTACCGCACCAACAAAATTGAAAAGTTGCCAATTACAAAGTACAATATATCTCTTTGAGACAAAAATAAATCTGAACAACAAACAATCCTTCATGAACAGTTTTTTTTTACGGATTAATTTATCAGTAAAGGTAAATTGTATTGATCAATATGTACAGTTAACTGAAAAATATAACTATTAGTCCTATTGGTATCAACACTGACGTCCGGTAAGGATAAAGACAAATGGGAGGAAAAAACTGAAGTACGAATTCCGATTAGAATTAACGGATCAACTTCAGAACTGCGATATGCCAGAGAGGCAAATGTCTTGTTGTCTGGCAACTCTAGTCAAAACTTACTGTGTCGCTTTGATCTTATTTTGCAGCGCTGTGAGAGAGCGGATAGTAGTTATTTGCGATTTTGGCGTGCGTAAGAAAGATGACCGACGTTGTTGCTGCGGCTGCTGCGAG